AGCGTATCTGCTGACTTCCAGTCCAGGGCTTATTTCATTCCAACACTGAACTCGGTGTCTCGGGGTCAGTCACACATGCACCAATGTCAGCAAATCACCTTTCAGTTCTTCGAACATTTACGGGATGGCCGGGAAATATTCCACGATTGAAAGCTGGCAGAGTGAGCTAGTAGAAGGGAGAAAGTTCTACCTGTGGTCTATGCCATGTTCTCTCCTTGGAGACCAGTTATGGCTGCAAAAAGTAATCTTCCCTTCAATCCTAAGGAATCATTATCGTCCCTGCTTATTATGCCTGCGGATGCAAGGTTAAGTCGGGTTGGGTGAATTTGCTCTGGGTACTGGTAGCAAAGAGCAGAATTGGGACTAGAGCCTTCGTGTGCCAGTTTCAAAGCTCTCATATTCTCCCCCGTCCCCAGATTTCTTCTTATTGTTAAGAACCAGGACAGCTTCAGAGCTTCATGAGAAGAAAAAATTCCCCTTGACGGTGGCTCTGAAGTTGGCAGACTGTACTTGCTCCAGGAGGTGACAGGGATCAGGCCTTGTTGGAACTCCTCCACTGTCTATACGGATGACAGTTTGATAGTGCCAGGAACCGCACATTCAAAGGCAGCTGTGGACAGTGAGGCGAGCTGGCTGGCCTCGCAGGCGAGATCCGGCGCCCTCTGATTTTGCAGGCTGCCATATGGGACAGCAGTTGGTTCTGCCAAATGCTGGGCCCTGATTCTGGGTGTTGTGAGTAGCTCACTCCTACAGTGCTGCAAGCTCATAGCAAATGATCAAGAGGCTCCCAGGGTCCCTGCAGACCAGCCCCAGCCCATGGCAGGCCCAGCTTTGCTAGTGCAAGCAGGTAGGCTCAGGAGAGCAGGAGCAGAACAGGATAAGGAAGAGGAGAGGTGAGTAGGCCCATGCCTGGGCCAGGGGGAGCCCCTTGGATTCCACCCAGCTGCTGCCCCAGATTTCTCTCCTCTGAGGCATCTTTTGAAACTGAAGGGAAGAATTTCTGTTTCCTAGTACAAGCATACATGGCTCGTTTCTGCATCCATAAGAGCTTTATTATCTCAGAATTTGGGGAATGAGTGTATTTCCAAATCAGCACGAGAATACGGACAACTCAGGAAATGAGTCATTCCCCCGGATTTTCCAGTCATTACAAAGCAGCTTACTCGGCTTTCATTTACTCCATCACATGAGGTCTGCATGCCCCTCACGGCCTGCTGCTCATTAATACTGCTAAGGAGCATTTGCAAAGTATTTAAAATCAGCTCTTTTTCTCTGCACTCATTCCCTGTGGTGCAGTCCAGTTTCTAGGATGGAACTAGATCAATAAACACATTCTTTCAGTCTGTTGAGACTTTCTGTCTTCCAATTAGAAGAGAGAACAAAACATGCTTTAATATAGAGACAGCAGTCAATTTTGGCTCAGTGCAGAGCAGGAAATGCCGATTTCTAAGATGTTTGTGTAAGAGACACAACAAAGCATCCACTTGGAAAGCAGTAGGATTTTTCTCAGCCAAACCTCATATGCACAGGCTCTTTCAGCAGCCCAAAGAAGAAGGAAGCAACTCTCCCTGGGGGACCGCAGCAGCCATTCTCTCTTGACCTGGGTGTGTGATCCAACGTGAAGCTGCAGCCCAGACACCTGTCAGGCGGCCTCCCTGCTCAGGTTTATTAAAACCCTTCCAGGGCCAAGCATGTTATCAAATCCCCACATGGCCTGCATCCTTCGCCTCCAGAAAACTTGGTCCTGAGCTGCTCCAGCAACACAGCCAAGCCTGAACCACCACTGGGGCGGCTACCGTGCGCCTTCCTTCACACTGCACAGGGTGGCCCTGTGGGGCTTGCATGCTCAAACACCAGCCTCACACCTGCTAATGACCCAGGAGGCAAGGCCGTAGGCTTCCTGAGAGCAAGAAGTTTCCAACTAAAAATATGGAGGCATGTTAGGAAGTGTGCTTACAGGTCCTGTCTGGTATCAATACATTGCAAGACAGAAAAGAGAAAAGGGAGAGAAAAGGAAGGAGGGAGGGACAGAAACACTGGGAGGAGGGAGCACAGGACACCACCCCAACATGGGAGACCTGCGTGTTTTATTTACCATTCTGAGCACTGTTACCGCAAGGATCACTCACTCTTTTTTCTTTTTCTATTTTTGATGGGAGGCAATTTGAAAGTAAAACCTGATGAAGTTTTAAACACAGATGTGCACTAGGAAGGTCAAATAACAAGAATCTGAGGGTAATTTGTCACCAATGAAACCCGATACCACCTTGAGGATGGTTTTGGAGCAAAGATTTCAGAGAGAGAGAGAGAGAGAGAGAGAGAGAGAGAGAGAGAGAGAGAGAGAGAGAGAGATTGCAAAAAGTTGTCAGCAGCAGCGCACGCACTTTACAAAGGCTCCTTCAAGCGACTGCAAGGAGGATTTAAGCCACACAACTTGGCAAGCATCTCCTTAAACAGCTTCGTAGACTCTCCTTCCCCCCACCCCAGGACCCTTTGTACACAGTGAGTCTGCTCACCTTTCTTTCCTACCTCCAAACAGCTCAGCCCAGAATGACAGTGTTTGCTACTCACTTCCCCTTGTTTTGAGCTCCATCCTCCAACTGCCTAGATTGTTTCTCTCCAAGCAGACTGACTACTTGCTTGTGTAGAAAAGTCTACCATCCCTTCTTGCCCCTTCATTCTCAAAACTTGTCTGCCCACTCCTCTCATCTGTGGACCAGTAAGCCAGCATTGGGTGGCAGCAACTCAGTGGTGCTGTCATCACGATATTCCCCTGAAAGCTGGGGGCGTGGAATGGTCGTAACTGCACACTCTTGGTGGCTATGGTTGTCACATCTTTAACAAGGATCGCTTGCTATCTAAAGAATCTGATGATACAGTATGTCACAATAACTAAATCAGAGACAGTTTCATCTGAGCCTGCATAATCACTCACTTAGAACCTAGCATGTGTAAGACACTAGAAGGAGGGACACAGTCTTAGAGGCAAAGGTCTCTCGCTATGTTGTAGAAAACTAGGTCGCAGGTGTCACTCTGGGCACTCACAACACAGATCTTCCTTTCCTCCTCGGAGTGGAGTCAGCCTTATTAAGGTGGCATGACCTAACCTTGCTTCAAAACCACTCAGTGGGTGAGGGAATTAGACAAAGGATAGCTGTTGAGCTCTCCTTATCCCTGGAAGAGGTAGAGTAGAGAGCTGAATCTAGATGTCACACTCCAAAGCCCCTACAGTC